CCTTGCGGAAGACCACAGACGAAGGACGAGGTTAAGAATGGGGAAGTACTGCCGCCTACAGATCTGGCATGTCCTTAACAACGTATTTATCCGGGTATGTATGGACAGAGTTTTTTTTTAAAACGCGGTGGTGTGGATGCAAGTTTTTGGATGGGCGGATATTCGTTTTTAAAAAACCCCGGCTACGTGTGGACTAGGCCTAAGAAGCATGGATTGATTCAGGCACTTCAGTGAAAGCATACAAATATACAAAAAAATATAGTAATAATAATAATAAAAAATAATGATAAATAAATAAATAATTATAGCCTAGCTATACTATAGTAGTCCTAGTTTGGTTTTATGTATTTGGAGTCTTATTTCCTGATATTAGGATATCTTTCCTCTGATTGAATAACAGCAACATGACCCTTCCACTGACTCTGTTTGCTCTGCAATGTTGATGTTTTATCCCAGAAAATAACTGCCATAATTGTTCTGCCATGTTGTGAAGTTGCTAATGCTAACAGTTAGCTTTTAATAGCAGGGATGTGCTCTGCTCTCTCCTGGATGCTAAATCATCAGCAGCCTTTTCCAGTCGTGAACCAAGATGGATAAGTCAATGAAAGCTATGATGTAGATCTGACAGGCTTTTCTAAACCAAGCTTTTCCCCATCTACTTTTTATCTGAGGCTTAAGCACGAAATATAGGTAAAATATTATTTTCTCATTCAATCTGCATGTTAAATCCAGAGGGACCAAATATTATTCAAAAATAACAAGTAAGAAACATTTTTCCTGTGAATTTGACCTTTAAACATCAACACTCATTAAAGCTGCTATAATGATCCACAAACAAGCTCATTTTACCTTCTGACTTACAGTGATGCAGGGGGCAGGGGCGCAGATAGAATTTTCAAACTGGGGGGGACAAAGTTCCAATGTACCCTCCCCCAAACACACACCCACACGCACGCACGCATGTACACAGACACAAACTATTGCAAGAGCCTTAACTAGAGCTCAGTCAGTTTGTGTAATTTCATCCAATGGTTTATGTAAAAACTAACACTTTTATATACGTGTTTGAAGCCATTATGCAATGGACTGCTGGCTGCAAAGCTCTGCCTGATCAACACTATTTAATTCAGTCATTTGTTATTCTCCCAATCAATTACTAACCAAAACCCCATGCTTTATGCAAAACATTAAATGATTTTCAGCATAGCAATCTTTACAGAAAACATAAAAGCCCTAAAAAACTGCACTTAAAATATGTTTAAAAAACGATATTCACTTATCACTTAGAGCAGTGGTTCCCAAACTTTTCAGCCTGACCAACAGATGTTCCTTCGTATTTTTACGTTATTTAGACATTTTCATTATATTTTAAAGGTTTTTATTTATATATAAATGTATAAAGCTCTTTTTAAATTTAACATTTTCCTTTTTTTATGTTTTTCCTTTTTTTTGTGGCACACTTTGACTTCCATATGACTTCCATATATGACGTATCGGCAATCTGCCCCTTTTTACTGCTTTTTTTTACATTGTCGCTACGTCTGTCATGTTTGCGGTGTTTTTACCATCATTTCTACATCCATCACGTCCCAAAGAAGGTTAAACAAACATCAAACTCAACGTTTGGAGCTTGTAAACGCCACACACCTCTCGTGCAGCACCAGCTGTCTGATGTTGCAGCAGCATCAATCTTCCTGGCTGGATGAGTGAATTTCTTCATCAGAGTCAATAATCTGCTTTATAATCAGAGTCAGTCATTACCAGACAAAGTGATCAGTCAACAAAGACCAGATCTGCTGGCAATGATATGTTTTATCTAATATTTGCGTTCTTCATGTTGCGCACATCTCCTCCTCTCCCCGACTGGGAGCCTCTCGGCGGGAGGCGTTTTTCAAACTCTAAAAACTCCAAAATATTGCTCAGCCTGAAGATTACATACCTCCACTATCTTCAGATGTAAAGTAGTAACTTCATGAGGGATCATATTTGTAGATGAGACTTGTTAAAGTCAGCAATGAGGCTTTGGCGCTTTTAAGAGTAAGTCCCAACCAACACTGACAACGATGCACAGAAACTAGAACCAACATGCATAAACAGACAGATCGATCCAGCCTGCTTACTTTGTTGGCCTTTTTTAAATACACAGTACTCGCTGCTTGCATTTTTCGCTTCATCCTGCATCAACCACTTTGACGCCTCTGGAGTCGGTGTTTGTTTACGTCATGCTGCATTCAATGTAATTGGAAAAATGAGCTTCAAGCACTTAACCTCCGATTTTGTTTTCTTTCTGGCCTTAGTGTGGAGGATGGATCAGGGTCAATTGGAATCTGGGGGGACAGATCCCTCCGTCCTCCACCCTATCCGCGCGCCTGGCAGGGGGGGGGACTGTTCTGTTCTGGTCCTGACTGCAGCCTTTGACACTGTTGACAATCATCTGCTACTGGAGAATCTCAGAGACAGGGTAGGTCTATCAGAAACTGAACCAAAGTGGATCTCTAATCTGTCTGAGCGTTCCATCTCTGTGGCCGTCCCTAAATTTCGGTCCTCCTCCACCTCCTTCACCCGTGGTGTCCCACAAGGTTCTGTGCTGGAGCCTCTACTGTTCCTCTTCTATCTGCTCCCTTTTCAACAGTAAATTCAGTATTTTTCAGGCTCCCACTTTCCAGTTGTATTCTCGTTCTTATTTTCTTATCTTAAATTTTCATCTTTCATATGTTTAATCATAAGAAAAATAGTTTGTCACACTGACGGGCAGGAGGTTTGAACCCAAGATGCAGAACACCAGATCACACAGACAGGAGCGGAGGTAAAGAAATGAATTCTTTATTCTTTAAGGTGAGGCTTAATCAGCGGTTAAAAAACACCAAAAACTGAAGTTTCAAAAACAGGAGCAAGGATTCATGCAAAAACACGGGAGGACACAGAATAACTCAGACATATATAATGGACCGACAAACACTGAAGGACAAGACAGGGGTTTTAAACACAGAGGGAGGTGATCAGGGGAACAGGTGGCAGGTGTGCGTAGTGAGAGCTGGAGGGAAGGCAGGTGAATACAATAATCTAATTGGGGGGGGGGGGGGAACAAGCAGGATGACAGAAAACCTTAACCTATAACACAAGGATAAAACTAAACCTAAAGACTGAGGGCCAAAAATAAACAACTAATAACTAGACGGATGAGGAGGACTAAATTAAGATTGACTAAGAATGGGGAATGATTAGAAGGACACCTGAGGGAAGTCTACAGAGGGCTGGGGATAATAATGGGACACAAGAGGAAAACCTGGAGTGGGAACTGGAGGGGCTGGGGAACAAAGGGACACAGAACATGACAGTTTCTTGCCATAACTGTGGACAACCACCACTGTGCTGTGATGCACCTTCTCAATGGCTTCATGATTTTATCTAAAGAGGTGCTATGTAAAAACCCTTCAATCTTATTCTTCTAGAATATTGTGGTTTTTTCACTTTATTTTAATTGTCTGAGATTTTGTATTTAGGGTTTTCATAAACTGTAACACATAATCATCAAAATTATAGCAAATAAAGGCTATCTAACTTTGTACATATGAGCATAGTTAGTTTCACCGTTTAAGTTGAGTTATTAAAAGAAAAGCATTTTTGTGCAATATGATAATGTCATGTTCTGTGTCCCTGTGGTCCACAGCCCCCTCCTGTTCTCCCTCCAGGTGTCCCCTCAGATTCTGTGTCCTTGTGGTTCCCAGCCCCCTCCACGTTCCCTCATGTGTCCTCTAATCTTCTGTGTCCCCCTTTTGGTCCCCAGCTTCTTCAGGATTCCCTTTAGTCACTTCATTTATCATTAGTTTATTTATCTTTAGTCTTTGTTCTACAGTGTTTGAAGTTCAGGTTATTTCAGTAGCTTTGGTTTAGGATTTAGGCCTAGTCCACACGTAGCCGGGTTTTTTTAAAAACGAATATCCGCCCATCCAAAACCTTGCATCCACACCACCGCGTTTTAAAAACAAACTCAGTCCACACGTACCCGGATAAATACGTTGTTAAGGACATGCCAGACCTGTAGGCGGCAGTACTTCCCCCGTTCTTAACCTCGTCCTTCGTCTGTGGTCTTCCGCAAGGAGCAGTAATTCCGCTTGCAAAAACAAACAAGCAGAAAGCGCTTGGACAATTGATGGATCGGGTAGTGACAGAGCGCAGCTCTGAGGGCATCCATGATGCTGGCTAGTGTAAACACAGGTCGCACACGTGATGTCAGCATTTTTTTGTCGCGGAAAGTGACGTTGCGGACCTTAAAACTCCGGTTTTGTCTGTCCACACGCACACACCCAAAACGGAGAAAACGCAGATCTTCACTTTGGCCGGAATTTTTAAAAAGATCCGTTTTCGTGTGGATGACAGGCCAAAACATAGAAAAATATCTACGTTTTGGCAGATCCCCGACCACGTGTGGACAGGGCCTAAGATACAGTTTTCTCCCCTGCTTATTTCTGCTTCTTCCCTCAGTTCATTAGTTTCACCTGTGCCCAATTCCCCGCGCACCTGCTCCTCGTCTCCTATCACCCAGCCCTGTGTATATAACCCTGTCTATGTTTGTCAGTCCATTGCCTTTGACAGCGTTGTTTTGGCCATCTCAAGTGTTCTCCTGTTCTTGCTCATGAGTGAGCTTCTGTTTTGCCTTTTTGTCAGCGTTTTTGCCCAGCTTCCTTTAATAAAATGACTTTATTTTCCTAAACCTCGTATGCATCTAGTCGTTCTGGTGTTCTGCCTCTTGGGCCCTAACCTCCTCCTGCGCCACACGTGACATATAATTGTTTGAGTTTCTCCTGTATGATAAAGTGAACTTGAGATTTTTTCATTCTTTACTGCTCTACTTGAATAAATCTGTGTCCTGCAATGTCTGTTTACAGGATCCAGAGAAAAAAACATAATGTAAAATATTGATTTGGAAACTTTAACTGCTGATCAACATTTAGAAGACTAATTTTTTTCATACTTTCTAAACTACAAAGCTGGTACAGTTAGGATTCAGTTTTTTATTTCTCCAATTTAGCAGAATACCTCATATATAAAATATGCATTATGTTACATTCAGTTCTGTCTTTTATTACTCATGGATACAAATAACTTAAGTACACATCAACACAATAAAATGCTACAAAAAGGACTCAACGAATATTTGCAAATACATTCAGCATGCAGCTTTTCCTAACATTAAAAAACATTGCAAACATAGTTACAGTCAGACAGTTTTGGCTTTTATCAGGTGAGGGTCTTTATATCTTTTAAATTTACTGTAACTCCAGCAGCTCTGACAAACCCTGCGTGTCCCATAACTCCCACATATTCTGAAGATAACATTTCATCATATACAAAATATAACTCAAACATTTTACCCTCTTCATGTCATAACGTGTGTCACCACCCAGCAGCCTGATTATTCTACACCATGTTCTTCTTCATCCTCCTCTCCTGGCAGCTCTTTCTCAGGCAGCAGGCCATAGCTGTTGAGGAAGGTCTCAACATCGGTTGCAAAGAATTCCTCGTTTAGGTGCTGCGTGCAGGACAGGAAGTTACCCAGTAGCTCTCCGGCCTTGTACACCAGCAGGGTTGGTAAATATTCATCAGAAAAACGCTCAGCAGCACCAGATGAGACGGCATCGATCCTGCAGAACTTCACAGTTGGGTACTCGGTGGCCAAACAGTCCAAGCAGCTGTTGAGCTGCTCACAGCCTTTAACACCAACTTTGTAGATGTGGACAACCACCACTGTGCTGTGATGCTCCTTCTCAATAACTTCAAGAAAGGCCTCTCCACTGTCCAGGTCATGCACTCCTCCAAAAGTAGGCCCAAAGCTGAGCTTGTTGTGCATCTCTTCCATGCACCGCCTCCTGTATTTCTTTAGACATCCTTCATCCTCCTCCTTAAGCAGCTCGTACTCTTGAACACTCATCTGAAAATGATATCAAACAGCTGCAGTTGGTTGTTTTCAGTAAGTTGCATTTAATTAGGCTGGATTAGAAAAACAAACATGGTTGTCTGCAAAAAGACATTATAAAACAAACCCACATCACTCTTATTGCTGTGCATCGTTTAGCTAACTCAGCTGGGGTTACCTTGCGATTAAGGTTTGCTCTGGAGTCATCTCCTGATTTATTGGGAGAGGACATTTGTCTAAGCAGCTCCTTTTTAGCAGGGGGCAGATTTTCCCGGTCCATACTTTCCAACTTAAACCTCCTCCAGTCATTAATGACCCCCTTTGGACCTTTGAAGAAATAAAACATAAATATTTAGTTACCCTGATGCAAAGTTTTGCCTCATTATCAGAAGAAAAATGAGGCATGATCATTTGGCTTCTGTCTTTATGAGGCATGTAGCAGTAGCGTGTGATGTGTCTTGTTGTGATGTGGAGATTATCGTTGCTCCCCAGGAAGTAGACTAATTACCCCCCGTGCTGTGCAAGAAAAAGAGGATTAGAGCTTCTGTTAAACAGTTCTCTGCGCTGCTTTGTTCGTCCTCATATCTGTTCAAAGCCAATTTCTTTCCTCCCTATTTATCTCCATAAGAACGTATCACCTGAATTGTACACCTAGAGGCTAAAAGAATCACACAGAAGCCCAAAATCTCAGCCACTTTGTACTTTTTGAAAGCTCACCTGTGTGGGTCGCAGTCTCCTCTAGCTCAATCAGCCTGCCAGACATGGTTTTTAGTCAGCTGCCTGAAACAAGAAACAAGAAAAAGACTTATCCGTATTGCAAAATCTAAACAATGACAACTTTTGATATTTTAAACAGCTGTTTTTCTTCTCATTCTTTTCAGTTATGTAACAGATGATATTTGCTGTGTGACGAACCAGCAGCGTCTTGATATTTCATCAAATTAATGCAGTCTAAGAGGATTACAGCCGCAGGTCTCTGTTGTTTACTGGGGCCACTTGAAGCTACTGTTTCAGACCTGAAGCAGACGTGAACTTATACTCATTTTTCTGCGGCGCACTCTAGGCTCCACACAGATGTATTGTTTCCGTAGTGTCGTTGCTTAAGCCAGTTGATTGTGTGACGTTCCCAGAGCCAATATTTGATTGGATTAGGTGGCCTGTTTCTTGTAGTCCTCATCCGTGCTTGCAGTCACGATGCTGATCTGGTCTAATGATCTTTATGGACACCATCTAGTTTCCAATTCAGCAAATGCTGTTTCTGAACAGTTTTACTTTAGAGGTCAGCAGAAAAACACGAAGCAATGGTTAAAAATGTGCTTCTGAAGAAAGAACTGTTTGATCTGGGGATACAGAAACAAATACAATGCACTTAAAATTCTCCATTCGATACTTTATGGTGTAATTTGACACAAATGATGAATTTATTACAATATGATCAAATCAGAGCAAAATGCATCTAAAAAAGAAAATTGTTGTCTTTATTTGACTGATTAATGACCTAAATTCGCTGGTTTATACATCTCTGAATTATTGGAAGAGGTTTGTCTTACCTTCCACAGTCCCTACAATGTCAGCCCGTTGTGTCAGTAGTTAACCACGCAGTGGTCTACTCTCGATCACTTGTCGGAGCTATCTGCTGCTGGACAGTGTGTGTGTGTGTTTTTTTGTGTGTGCATGCATGAGTCTTTTCCAGCCAATGAGCTTGGTCTAACGGAGATTTTAAAAAAAGACCCAATGGACCAAACAGAAATAGAGCATAGATCCTAAGAGGATTCCACTTCAGGAATTAGAAGCCTCTGCTAGATAAAGACCTGACTCCACTCAAGGAGGAGAAGGAATGATAAGGTCAAAGCTGAAACTTTGTTACCGAAACAAAACCTTAAGATGTTTTTTTTAAATCAGTGATCTAATGCATCACTTGATCGAGCAGCTGGTGGGAGCGTTTCCCATTCAGGAACATCACAAAGGAGCTACAGTGTTGTAATTTACTGGCTTAAACAGCTTGTTAGGAGTTGAGTCAAACAAGAGCGCCATGGATCCATGAGATGAACTTTCAAATAAAGTGATCTTATCAGCAATTCTAAGGTCTTCCAGGCATTGAGCTTTACACGACGTGAGCACATGATGTAAGCCTTTCAAAACACAAAACACCGTTGGCTACGAGCAGGAGAAACCTAGTGATGATCAGTCATGTGCTTCATATCTATTTTCAAAACAAATGTCCCGTTGTTGGTCTATTTTCATCTCCATAATGCATTATTTTATTTTTACAGTTTTCTAAAGTAGTTTATTTCGGAAAAGGTTCTTGAAACTAAGACTCGTCTGGAGCAAATTTAAAAACTAAAGAATAATTTTGAGAGGTCAAACAGGAACGTATTGGGAAAACTGAGAACCCAGTAAAGCCACCAGTTATGAATGAATGAACTTTGTCACTGTGTGGTGGGGCATTACTGTGTGAAATTGAGAGTACTTGTACTATAAGGTGCAATCTTTAAGATCTTTAAGAAATCACACACACACATTATAGTAAACATCACGTAAAGACACATTTGCGCAAGAAGGAATTAGAAATCAGTTTGATAAATCTGTCTTTGAAAAAATGTTTAGTGCATATGTGAATATTGTTTGCCAATTAAAAAATGTGTTTTTGTTCCATCCATCCATTTTCATCCGTTTATCCGGAGTCGAGTCACGGGGCTCAGACTTCCTTGTATTTTTGTTGTCTTTTTAAAATTTTAACGGATCCTTACCATGACAAATTAATTTTTAGCTTTATACCATGTAATGTTGTCATTTCCTTATGTGAAATACCCCCAAACCATTTTTTGGCTGCATTCATGCATCGACGTAAAAAAACATGCAATGGCCTGCACAGGACGTCATTTCTGTCCCTTTATTTAAAAAATGCTGAAACATTTAAAGTGTCTTTTTTACATGATTTTATCAAAACCCTAGCATGTATATTATATACATAGGATAAGCCAAAATGCTGAACACACCTTCTCATTCAATGCGTTCTCTTTATTTGCTTGACCATGAACAAAGGGGCAAAGTGCTAAACACTTCTGGGAACTCCTTCAAGACTGTTGGAAAACCATTTCAGGTGACCACCTCTTTAAGCTCATCAAGAGAATGCCAAGACTGTGCAAAGCAGTAATCAGAGCAAAGGGCAGCTATTTTGAAGAATATAGAATATAAAACACGTTTAGTTATTTCACCTTTTTGGTTAAGTACATAACTTCACGTGTTCATAGTTTTGATGCCTTCAGTGAGAATCTCCCAATGTAAATGTGACATGGTTTGGGGAATACATCTAACCCAAGACATGCAGAATCACAACTCACAGGATGGTAAAAAATATATATTTATTGTACAACGGGAAAAGGCGCACTGTTAAGTCCAGTGGGGATCGGGAGCACAGCATCTGCGGGGAGGGGGGGGGGGGGGGGGGGTTGTGTGCAAATACAGTTGAGTCCAGAGAGGTAAGTCTTAACTTGGTGGGTGCAGAGAAAAGACTTACTGGGAGTTGGGGAAGCCGAAGCACAGGGATGAGGGAGGGCGGGTCGAGAGCCGGGGTTGTATCCAAGGTAGGGGTCCAGGAAAGGGAGCGAGAGGAGAGCGGGTCGGTTAGGAGGAGTGGAAAACGGATCAGAGCTGCGTCCAGAAGTCCTATGGGGCACAGGTGAGTAATCCTGAGGAGTCGCTGAATACAGAGACGTTCCAAAAACCTGGAGGCAGGTGATCACAAAAATCCAAAAGTTCACAAAGTCCAAGTAACACTAGGAGGCTGGACACTACCAAGCTGTAGTAATCATCTGGTCCCAAGGAGTGTTCTCCATCCACCTTAAGTAGCCGGCCCGCTGATTGCAAACCAGGTGCAACTGGGAACCTCTCTCTCCTGCAACACACAACTCAAAGGTGGAATATTGAGAGGAGTACTCACCCCGGCTCATGACAAAATAGTCATGAGGATAAAGACAACACATTGAATGAGAAGGTGTGTCCACAATTCTGGCCTGTACTGTGTGTTTTTTTTCCATTGGAATGAAAGTTATGGGCTCGACACACGGGAGGCGACATCGCCTCTCCTCCATTCATTTTCAATGAGACACGCGCGACAAAGCGATAATCGCGGGTCTCCCTCCTACCAAGCGAAACGCGAAAAACGTGCGTGTGAAATTTTGCGCTCGTGCATGTGTCGTGCACAGGCGACCCAGCGACGCAATCCCAGAAAGTTGAAATATTTTCAACTTTTCATCGCTGTCGCTCGGACGAGGACCAATCAACGGAGGTTTCATTCACTGACCAATGAGCGGACAGGATGCTCCGTACATCTCCGAGCAAACATAGAGGAGAAGTTAATTATTATTATGTTTTATATAGTAAAATCAGAAGTAATATTTCACATAACTCTAGCAGCACCTTGTGAAACATCATATCTACCGCTTTATTAACTCTGAACCGCTTAACTAACCTTAATTCCCTCCAACATGACACAGCCAAACAAAACAACGGAAGTTTCGATTTCGCCAGGGAACAGAATGCGTAGACGGCTTTGCCGCTGGCCGCTGCCGCGGGTCGCCTCCCGTGTGTCAGGTAATAAAAGCGATGACAACAAATTTTGCTGATCGCGGTCGTTTGTCGCCTCCCATGTGTCGAGCCCATTAGAAGGTTGAAAATGAAATGTTGTGACGGGTGAAGAATTCAACAAATGAAAAAAAAAAATCTGACTAAAATTCCTGCTTTGAAAGATGATTTTTGTCATTCGCCTCCCTTTGTTTAATTTTCACATGTTTCTGAACTTAGTTTAAACCTGAGAAGGGTTCGTTGAGACGTCACGTTAAGCCAAATTCACTTATTATATTTCAGCTGGTGCTTTTCCAAAAAAACAGCGAATGAAAAGTGAACTTGGTCACCTCTGCTGAAGCTCTGTCTCTCCTTGCCTGCGTCACTGTAAGCTTTCTTTAAATGTTGGATGACTGCAGTGCAACCAGCAGAATAAATGTCTCCACACCCACTTTACTTTTCCTGGGACAACTCGTGCAACTGCGTTTGACTTCCGTCCTCCGTCTTTCTGTCTGTGTCCCATAATAATTGGCTTAAAGGATTACTGGACTTTTTTATTCTGGCACAGAGAGAAAGTGTGCCAGGTTGAGTTTCGCTACCGGATAAGCATAGGTGGCTTAAAACAGAATTCAGCTGACTATCATTCATCCTGTCATGCATCCTTTTTTTCATGCAAATGTGTTTGCCAGAATCATATTACAGTCCAGTTTTAGGTCTGCTAATCTATCTACTGATCTATCTGTAGATGCCGTTCCACTGCTGTGCCTTTTTAGACTTGCTGCTTCTTCTTTTGTTCTCCACTTGATTTATCGGCCCAAGCTCAACACAAGGGCCGAAATCAACAAACTGAAAGAACTCACAGGCAACAAACATAAGATTTTAGTATATTGATTTCTTCTGAAAATAACTAATTTGTGAAAAGAGTAAGAGGAGATCTGCAAAACCTTGTAAATTTGAGGAATAATAAGGGTCTCAATGAAAAATGATAGACTGGTTGCCAGTTTTTAAGCTTTTCTAGCAGCTTCAAGAAACTGGTTCTTGGTCACTGTTTTCAGTCGTGTTTGCTGAATTTTGTCACAATTTGTGGACGATTCTTACAAATCAGCTTACAGCAATTCAGTGTGGGTTTATGCTTGATTTACTATAATTATAAGAAAAGAAGCTGGTTATTAAAACCAATCACATGCTCTAACACCACACCTCAAAATTCTCATGCTGGAGAACAGAACGTTCACCCCCACCCTGACACTGTCCTTCACCATCAGCTCCCCACCCCTGCTCGGAGATTATGTCACGCTACGAACAACAGATTTAACCATTCACGTAAAAAATTATTTAAATTTATTGGAGCTTAGTTTCTATCTGCAGGAGAGACTAAATTCTACTATTCTTGAAATGCAGTTGAGGGCCACACAGAAGAAGAAGAAAAAGAAAAGATGTTTTCTGTATCACCTCTCAAGATAAAAATCACGAGGCGCTTCCCAAAAACAAAAAAATGCAAAAATATAAAAAAGAATTTAGAAAATGATCAAACATATGTTTAAAATGAGCAAAAATAGAAAATTGTGCTTAAAAAATGTAATCAAAGAGCGAGAGTGAATAGGAAAGAGGGAAATCAGTGGATCCTGAGGAAGGTGGAATAGGTGGGTAGAGCAGAATAAGGAGAGGGTGATGAAGGTCATACAAAAACCAGCTTGAACAAGTGAGTCTTCAGCTGCTTTTTAAAGGAGACCACTGAGTCCACTGATCTCAGGCTCAGGGGGAGAGAGTGCCAGAGTCTGGGGGCCACAGCAGCAAATGATCTGTCACCTTTGGTCTTTAGCCTGGTGCGCTGCACAACCAGTAGGCTTTGATCACTGGACCTCAGGGACCTGCTGGGGGTGTAGGGACTGAGAAGATCACCAATGTAAGATGGTGCTTGTCCATGTAAGGCCCTATAGACCAGAATCAGGATCTTGAAATGAACTCTGACATTGACTGGCAGCCAATGAAGCTGGAGGAGAAGCGGGGTGATGTGGTTGTGTTTGGAGGACTTGGTCAGAAGCCAAGCACAGGCATACTGAACCACCTGTAGACGGTTCAGGGAGGTTCTGCTCAGACACGTAAAAGAGAGTT